TTTATGGCCACATACTACATGTACTTCCCGTTCCTAACATGTGAGGTCAAATGTGGTGCTGCTGCTCTCGACGTTACAGATTGACAGAATGCTCATAGCATGACAACAATGGCAGTAGAGGTATAGTCGAACTCTTTAGACTAGTGAAGCGTGAAAAGGAGCTCCACTAGGAAGTCCTCACCTTTTCACTCTCCCATGACCACCAGACGGTGAGAATCTATGGCCATTATCCTATAATCGATAGAAATAAGACCACTTTCTACCGCCACCTGTAATGATGTACGGTTACGCTTGTGCTACATCCCACTGAGCCAAAAAGACTACAGTATTCCGGCTCGCCCGGAATATGCGTAACACGCTTTATATACCACATGTACTGTAACGGTGGCACCCGTTACACCACCCGACTCATGAATTTAGCTTCACCGCGCTAGATGGGAAAGAGAAATGGACTGCATACAAGTTCACAAAAAATGTCTACGATATATGGATGTCGACTCACGTTAAAAGAATATGTTCAGTTATTGATGGGTTACCACCCGATTTGGATTTTGAGGTGTTGCAGCAATCTGACCAAGGGGGATCTGGACTTTCACAGGGGTTGCAAAGCCACCATCTCTCTCGCGAATCAAGTTATGGTGCTGCATCTCGACAGAAGGAAGCTGAAAGCCAGTCAAGCTGTACTCCATCATGAGATATCACTCCAGATACTAATATAGATACAGAAATTTGAAGGCCTTGGATTCTCTATTTGGCGCTACAAGTAGAGAGCAGCATATAAGTTAACATTAAGGCTAATGAAGAAAGTCAATACTAACCTAGATTTTATTAACAACCTGCCATCAACACAGAGACTAGGTAAGTTACTATAGTAATATTTATAGTAATTAGCTAACATAACGTGCATGTATAACGAAAGTGCCAAACAAGCGAAAGTGCCAAAATCATGCGGTGACCAACCCCCCCAACTAAATGTTAAATTCCTCCACAACAAAACATGCGCCATAAAAATGATGAAAGCAAATTAGTGCTAGCTATCCAAGCTATGCAAAGCGACCCAAATTTGTGCCTTTGAGTTGCAGCTAGGATCTATTCCGTAGACCACCGCAAGCTACGTCACCATTTACAAGGTGTACCTTCACGACGCGATATCCAAGCCAACTTACGGAAATTAAGTAACCTAGAGGAATCAGTTCTTGTTCAGTATATACTTGACTTAGCTGCTAAAGGGTTCCCTCCTCAGTTGTCTATTGTTGAAGATATGGCAAATCGACTACTTGCAACAGCGACGCGCCACGCGTCGGGTCACGTTGGGCTTCAAACTTTGTTAAGCGCCATGTAGAGCTCTGGACACGCTTCCAGCGAAAATACGACTACCAGAGGGCTAAGTGCAAAGATCCAGAAGTCATTCGTGGCTGGTTTGAGCTTGTATGGAACACAATTCTAAAGTATGGCATCAACAATGCAGATATCTACAACTTTGATGAGACTGGGTTTAAGATGGGCGTCATCTCAAGCGCAACGGTAGTAACGAGCTCAGATGGGCGGGCAAAGGCAAAAAAGGTGCAGCCTGGCAATCGGGAATGGGTTACAGTAATCCAAGGCGTTAGTTCTCAAGGTTGGGCAGTGCCGCCATTTGTCATTGTGGCAGGTAAAAACCACCTTGCATCTTGGTATGAGAATAGCGGATTTCCAGCAGATTGGGTAATCGCTGTTACTGCAAATGGCTGGACTACAAATGAGAGAGGTATGGATTGGATTCAGCATTTTGAGAAGCACACAAAGCCCCGGAGTGTTGGTGGTTATCGCTTGTTAGTCCTTGATGGTCATGAGAGCCACCACTCAGACAAGTTTGAGGAGTACTGCAAAGAACACAACATTATTACGCTTTGTATGCCTGCTCACTCTTCCCATATACTCCAACCACTTGATGTTGGCTGTTTTGGCCCATTAAAGAGAGCTTACGGTCAGCAAATTGGAGATATGATGCGGGCTCATATTATTCACATTACTAAGGATGACTTCTTTCCTGCCTTCCACGCTGCATTTAACATTGCAATGACAGAAAGCAATATTCAGGGAGGGTTCCGAGGTGCTGGGCTTCTTCCATTTAGCCCTGAGAGTGTAATATCTATACTTGACCTTAGGTTTAAGACGCCAACACCTCCAACCTCTCGCCCAAACACCGCTCAACCATGGGTTTCTCAGACACCAAATAACCCAACTGAAGCTGTATCACAGTCTACTTTCATTAAAAACCGAATTGCGCATCATCAAAATAGCTCTCCAACCTCAATCTATGCAGCTGTTGACCAGTTTACAAAGGGTGCATCGCAAATAATGCATCAATTAGCATTGTTAAAAGCAGAGAACCAAAACCTGCGACAGGCAAATGAAGTGCTAAGCAAGCGCCGGAGAGCTAAAAAAACACGACTACAGCAAGGAGGATCACTTAGTCAACAGGTAGCACAGGAGCTACAGGATGAGAGGGACATTGTGCAGCAAGTAGAGCAAGAAATAAGGGCAAGTAGTGGTCGGAAGCCAAGGGAAGAAACCCATGCACGTCGCTGTGGCAAGTGTGGTGAGACTGGACACAATGCGCGCACTTGTCAGATTGTAATAGACAGGTCTGAGGAAGAGGACTCCGAGTAGTTTTAATTAATTTATATTGTTGTGGTGGATTTATCGCAATTCTTATGGGGTAGTCGCGATATTTTGGCACTTTCGCTTGTTTGGCACTTTCGTTATACATGCACGTTATACAGTACTTATTATAAGAAGACCCCCCTGCACCTCTACTTTACTAAGACACAGATGGCAGTTTGGCAGAACTTTGCATCATGGAGCTTTAATGGCGAACAAGTCTACCTTCCTAGCCCTGCTAACTAGTACCTAGATGGCTATGATACTAAGTTCTATGGCTTTTAGTTGGATTCTAATGCACTTGTCACCTTTCGGGCCTAGGAGATGTTAAGAGAAGAGACTAAGCCAGCTAAGTACAAGTGGATCCTCTCATCTAATGACAGGTTGTTGCTGTTGTCCCTAACTAAGGAATCCGAGGAGCTTCTCTCCTAGTTCTATAATATGTAGATTAAGTGCTGCTTTTAGAATATACTAGATAGCCTAATGCACTACTTTCTATACTACAAGCCCTCATTAAAGTAAGTTATATACTTCAGATCATTTTTCATTATGTCACATGGTTAATATGGCCTGTATATGGCTAGTATACAGGCTCTGTATCATATTAACTAGTGCTAGTGCGTATTAAGTTGAACCTGTATCATATACACACTAGTTACAAAAATGAACCTAGAATTCAGTGTTACAGCGTAGTTGTTCATCAACTGCTATAGGAGGCATCGACCTGTGTTAGAAAACATGTAGTGGAAAAAAAGCACAGGACGTCATCTGCAACTTGGACAGATACGACGTATGGTACCACAAGCCTGTTAATTGTCGCCGTGTTACTTAGGAGGGATAAGGCCTAGAATAGGTTTTCTATCTCTAGACGATATTCGGCCATAGGAAGGATAGCTGAAGGTGGCATGCTACTAAGAGCCATAGTAACACGAATTAAGTCTTCATCTATATATAGTAGCAGCAGCTATAGTAGCAAGTTGAACTAGGGCTGGAATTTAGACTAGGATAACTATGGTAGCAGCAACTTGAATTAGGGCTAGAGCTAGGGCTTAGATATTAGCTAGAACTGCAACTTGGAGCAGGGCCAGAACTAGGGCTATGGTAACGTCTACAGTGTCGACTAGTGTATTAGATAGTATTATATAAAAACACAGAGGTTTCTTGCGTAAGGTTGACTTGACAGAGGAGGCAGGGGATTAAACACAAAGGCTTTCCAAGTAACACGTTACAGTGTAAAGAATACTATATTGAGTTGAACACGAAGCTCCTATCTAAGGAAATACTATCTACTTATATAGTGGCGTCGTGCCTCATGGGTAATCTGGATAGTTGGCGGATAGCTAGATATTCAGGATAGTTGGTGGATAGCTCAACTATCCAATATCCACTAGTTTCTGCAACTATCCATTAGCCCCATCACATGGCAGCCTACCCCGCTTGCCCCCTGTGACTCACACGTCACGTTACTGTAGCCGTAACATACGCACTATAGATAGGTAGAAGGAAACCCTTGCTACACGCCACGCAACTCTAAACGCAAATACTTTTATAGGTGTCTCTACGCCACTTCGCGCACTATGCAGTGTTTATCTAGCATATCATATGGGCATAGGTCAGAGCTCGGGTGTTATGGAGGGACTGTTGTGCAGGGAGGATTGTATGCAAGTCTATGTAGAGTTCCTGAAATGCAAGAGTCTTGTTAAAGACAGCAACAGCCTAATCATGGCGTTCCTTAAGGGAGAGGGGTATTTCACGGCACAGGACACATGCAACCAGATGCTACTCGTGCAATTCATAGAAGACAAATTTGGTATTTGTCTCAAGGGATTGAAAGAGCCTTCAAAAAGCCTAAGAAAAGGGGTCGGCCAGTAGAGTCACATCAGTAATGCCGCTATCCCATTGAGGACATGAAGATGCATTATTAGGCTGATGCACAAGCAACACCTTTTATCACATGTGCCAAGGTGTTCAAGAAGTTTCCTTGGAAGGAGGAACAGGGTATGGGGAAAGTTATGCGACACAATGATACCAGGGATCGATTTGATGTATAATAATAGCAATTGTTTCTGAATGACGTCCAGTTTTAACCTGAAACCAATTTGTGCCTGGTGTGCTTCCATACTCTCTTCCGGGGAGAATTTCTCAAGAGCGTCGATGGGAAGGTTACTGACTAAACCGTTAACTCCATGGCAGGTACATAATGGCACTATTGCTTTGGCTGCGGTTGTATGTTGTGTGCCCCTTGATTTAAATATCAACTCCCGTGGTGCCACTAGATGCCATATACGTAAATTGCACCTTCTCCTAGATTTCCTCTTAAACATCAGAAGAAGCATCTTAGTATAATATAAAATTGTCCATAACACATCGTCACGTGCAACGACGCCCACACTACGAGGCTGACAAGGCTGAGCGGCAGTTAGGCAGCAGGGGTTGAAAATGCGGCGTATTCGAGTTAACGAACCAATCACAAGGCCAGGCAGACACCAACGACAACTCCAGGCAGATGCATTTGGGACATCCCTTGGACGTCGTCACCTTGGAGATGTGAGGGCTGCGCGGTTAGATAGACAGATTAACGACGACCTATATCACCACAGCGTCGCCAAAGACAGTAACGTCAGCTGCAAACATCGATATATCATATACAAAGAGCACCTACAACGATTTCAACGATATGGGCACGACTTTATAGAGCACGAACCCCTTCGAATCCACCACCTCGTATCTCTCACAAACCATACCCCGCAATCTACGATGTCTCTCTTACCATTTACGCTGCCTTTGCAGCGGCGCCTCACAAAGATGTACACGGACACCAAATCATCGCTTGCATTCGTTGCCGACCCCGCGCGCGCCGAGGACGCCGAATTGAGCAACCTACACCGCAAGCTGCGCATCCAAAAAGACCGTCTCACAACATGGGGTCTACGGTGGAGCGAAGCGAGCCGTACGGATTCCTCCGTTGGACCTGAAGATGCGGACATTGATGAGGCACTCGCATCGGCGGGCCTGGCTGACGTCGCAGGGAGCGTGATGGCTACGATCAATGCAGTGTTGGCGGAGGCTGAGCCACTATGGGCGGCGTCTGGGCGGGCGGAGAAGGCGCCGATGGAGAAAGGCGGCGTAGTGTGGGATAAAGGGCGCTTTGAGGACCTGGTGCGCGACCTGACGAGCTCGATTGATACGCTTTATGATATCTCGCGGGCGCGGCAGAGTGAATCGCCGAAAAAGGGCAGTAAGATCGAGATGGTGGTTGAGGAGGAGAGGGCCTTCGAGAAGACACGGATGGATGCACCGAGGGTGATTGATCCGAGGGAGTTGAAGGGATGGGTGGGCGCAGGCGTTGCGCTGCAGTCTGATGGTAATAGTTTACCGAAGGTACTGGACATGGGCAAGAGAACCATTCTCTACATGACGAAGCAGGCCCCAATGAGGCCCTGGGCGGCGGAATCCGAGGAAGTGTGCTTTCCGGTAATGCTCGAGTTTGCCTCATACGACCCTATCTACTCGATAACCGGCATCTCACCATCGATGACCCGCTTCGAGAAGCTCTTCGCCGGCCTGCAAAGACGGAACGAGGAGGCCGGACGACCGGAGTTCGGCGTCCTGAACCTAATCGGGTACTTCGAAGAAGAAAACTCGCGCTTCGGTCTCGTGTACGAGCTGCCTGCGCGTTTCCCCACTACGACTCTGTCCAACTCCGTCGTGTCTCGCCCTTTCTACACCCGACTCGCAGACATGCTGCAGATGCGTGCGCAGGAGCCCCCGCTCGAGGTCCGTTACCGCTTAGCATACAACCTAGCGACGAGTGTCTTCGACCTGCACTCCAAGGGCATTGTGCATGGCAACCTCGCGGCGTGCAATATCGCCTTCTTCGAGCAGATAAAACCACGCCCGGACGGCGAATGGGTCCACCCTGCCGTGAACGTGCGCCGGCCATATCTTACTGCATATGACCTCTTCCCAGAGCCGGGGCGGCCATCCGACGCGGCCAATGCCGCCGAAGTTGCCTGGTACCGCCATGAGCTGGACCCGCGACTGACACCGCACACACCGCTGACGCCGGAGTCGCGGTCGTTAGACTTATACAGTCTCGCCATGCTGTTGGTGGAAATCGGGCTTTGGACCGTGTCGCGCGATATCCGCCACGGCGTTGCTGGGATTGGTATTGCACTGGATATCAAGGTTGAGACTGAAGAGGTGAACAAGCAGCTTGCGGCGCGCTGTGGCATGGCGTACCTGCGTGCAGTACAAGCGTGTTGGGGCGCTGTTGACGATGAGATAAGTGCGGTTACTCGCTCAGATGTGGTTTTGCAGAAAGTTTATGGGAGAGTGTTGAGTTCGTTTGAGAAGTGTTGTGCTATTGAAGACGAGGAAGATGAGGACATTGGAGACGAGTTAATAGTGAGTGCTGTTCTATCATTGCATGAGATTCTCGCAACTAACCCCCCTCTAGACCGGCTCATTGCCGTCAGTTAGTGCCACAGCTGAGATATCCAAGTCCGAAAAATGGTCGTCTCCATCCTCTTCCAGCGTCTCATTACCGAGACACCCCCTTGGACGGGAGAAGCCACTACCACCACCGCCGCCGCCGCCGAGGCGCCCAAGCAAAGAAGAGCACATGAAAGCGGAGGATATTGAGATAAATCAAATGATACAGAGTCTTCATATTAAGCCTAAGCCTATTTCCGAGAAGTCTGCGATCGGTGAGTGGTCTCGGTGTCAGACTTAACGCTCCTTTCTAATAAATTGCAGTACAAATCGAAGACCCCACCACCAGTCCTAAGCCACAGTCGAGGAGATTCCCGAGCAACGAGATTATCCAGGAACATCTCGACCGCTGGCACAACACATTGATGCCGCAGATTAACCACGCTCTCCGAGGATTCTATCGGAAGTACCCCGAGTCCGTCGAGATTAGTCTCGAGAGCATTGGCGAGACGCCGCTGAAAGCCAAGCCAACTATGCTCGTCGTCTGCACCAGTGTTGCAAAGGTAAAGAGCATCCTTAAGCGCCACTTCTCCTATGACTCCGCGACCTACGGGTTGATGGTGTGCCGTGGCAAGGTCATGCGGTCACGCAAGCGTGCGCCAAAACGATCCATGGCACGCGACGAAGATTACGTCGAGCCCAAGAACTCGCATCACCAAGAGCGCCCAGTGAATGGAGCATCGATTGGCGCTTTCTCCGAGGGACAGGCTCTAATGCCTGTCTCCTTTGGTGGTTTAGTTATGGTCGACGGCGAGCCTTTTGGCCTGTCCGTGCACCACATGCTCGATATCCCAAGCGACTCCGACGACGAAGATGACGACTACTCCATCCCCACCATCCAATCTTCCGACATTGAACCTGGACCCGCCCCACTTACCACCGAGGCTCTCGAAGCCCTAGGCTACGAGCTTTCAGACTGCGATTCCGAGACTTCCTCCATCGCCTCTAGCATATTAAGCGACGCATCCTCGTTCCTCGAGCCAGGAGACATCGGTGGCATTGCACCCGACTGCGCAGGTGGTTACCTGGTCACCCAGCCCGCCCTCGACGACGTCGACCCCCGCATCTTCCCCTCTGCCGAAACAATGACACAAGACTACCTTGACTCCTTCACCCTCGGTTCGCTGCATGCATCATCCGGCTTGCGCCGCCGCGCTTGCAGTCTTGGCCTCACACACGAGATCGACTGGGCTCTTTTTCGCTTCTCCCCCGGCCGAGCACCGGGGGAGAACAAGATAACGGGCGCGCCGGCGGGGTGGCCCGGTGCGTTAATCCCCACTGCGCATCTGGGTGGGCTGCCGGTGCGCGCAGTGGCGCGAACGTCGGGCGTGACGCAGGGGCGGATTCAGCGCGCTGTGACGACTGTGAAGTTGCGGGGAAGGCAGACGCCGAGCCAGAGTTTCACGGTTGAGGGCGGGTTAGGGGTACCAGGAGATAGCGGGGCATGGGTCCTTGCTGAGGGAGGCGCATGTGGGCATGTGCTTGCGTGGAGTGATAAGCGGAAGGTGGGGTATTTTTGCCCGATGGAAGTCATGTTTGAGGATATCAGGGGGACGTTGGGGGCGAGAGTTGTGGAATTCCCGGGGGCGAGTGGATTGGAGGCGAGGGATGAGGAGGATGATGAGACTATGGTTGAAGTTGAGGAGGTGCAGGTGCCAGATGACAAGAAGAAGATGGATGAGGTGGGGTTGTCGGTATACTCCCTCTTGAAGGGAGGCCAAGTGAAGAGTGAGGTCGAGGGGGTGGACTTGGTGACAGGAATGGAGGGGATGTGCGTCAGAGCGTGAATTTCCCCCGACATTTCTTGTATTTGATATGTTGTTTTTTGCTGCCCTTAAGGAAGGAGGGCGGAGGAGAGTGAGATTGAGATACCCACTTTGTAAGAATTTATGATTATTTTGCTTGGGTTAGGGTAATAATATGTTTGCTTTGCAACTTGCTGATAAGGTTGGGAGGGGCGCTGGAAAGTTAGAAGGCGCGTGGGTGGTACTCAGTGTGCAGCGAATCGTGACTCGGCATGATTCGCCCCGAATCAGACTCGATTCATGATCTGATTCGGGCTATTTCTTAATGATTCGAATCATGATTCGGCCAGTATTCGAATGATTCGAATACTTGCCAAGATATATAATATGTCCAAGCGTCTAGCGGTGAAGGCTTGTCGTCGTCCTCAATATATAGCTTTTTAGATTAAAAGCGTATCTCAGAAAAGGTGCAAGCAGATGGGTATCCAACACTTAACTACTGTGTTCCATATTATCTACGACTAATGGATAAAATTAAGAAGATGAAGAAGACTGTAAAGCATATATCTATCAACGAAGCTTGTACTGCTGCATTTAACAAATTAGACGACTATTTCTCACTTGCAACAAGCCAACAGTCAAGCCATTTAACAGTTGCAACAATATGCGATCCTCGGTTTAATTTTAGTATATTTGATTTCTATTTACCAGAAAGCTTTTATAACACAAGCAAAGAGCGAGCAAGAGCACAGTTTGCAGCTTGTTATAACAGGTATAAAGCACGGGACAATGACATTCAAGCAGAGGAAATGGATGCTAGACTTGATAACGGGAGTGAGGATAAGCCTCGAGAAGTAGACTCTGGGGATGAGATGTTTAAGCATCGAAAGCCTATACTCCAGAGGTTGATTGGAGACGGTGGCTTAATGAACCAGGAGTTGATAAGCCTGATACTAATGTTCTCAAATATTGGCAAGCAAAGCAGTATCAGTATCCAACAATTGCACAAATAGCTCGAGACTATTTAGCAATTCCAGCAACATCAGCAGCGTCAGAACGAGTCTTTAGCCAAGGAGCCGACATCGTTACGAAGAAAAGGAATAGACTATTACCTTCAACAATCAGATACTTACTATGTCTACGGGATTGGGGGGTAATTGTTGACGATGAGGATATTGAAGATATAAGTGGAGATATGGGTTAGGCATAGTTAGATTTTTTTCGTAGTTTTCAATATTCCATACACTCTATTTCAGCCTCAAAGATTCGAATCATGACTCGAATCAGATTCGAGTCATGATTCGGCGAATACTTCAAAAATATGAATGATTCGGCGGATCGCCGAATAGTATTCGGGGGGTGATTCGCCGCACACTGGTGGTACTTGTGGGTAGCTCCTTCCTTCATTATGTTGCCAATATTGCTACAACTACATACTTTCATATTCCTTACGATGGGAAGGTGCGTTAGGAGGTGCGCTACCTGCACCTTCATGACTACATGGTGATGACTCCGTCAATAATGATGGAGCTCACAGAATATGTGTCTTTGGCCTTCCAAGCAACCTTACTTCTCTGAATCACATCGTCCCTACAGGTTATCTGCGACTCCACGGCCACGTGAATATCCAAGCTCCAAATGGATTTAGACCCGCCGCCGGCATACGAACCTCCCTCCGGTCCTGGTGGTGATGACAGCGTCGACATCAGCGTCGATGACAGCTTCGATGACAGCGACCCAGGCGTGAACTGGGCACGCAACCACCTCCTCGAAGCCCGCTCTGCTCTCGCCAGCTACCCTGAAACCAAGCGCGCCCTGAAGCGGCAGGTGCTTGAAGAACAAGAGATGATACGGCTAGGCATCGACCATCATGGACCGCCACCTGCACATGCTCCGCGGACCATCGTGCCGCCTTGGAAGGACGGCAGCATGCTCACAGACGTGGTGCCGACTAGTTCGATCTTTGGGCCAGGAAACATCGAGGAAGAGCTGGATCAAGCTATTGATTTTCAGGAGTTCGGATATATGAATGTGATGCCTAGTCTGCGGCGTAGGCAAGACCCCTTGAGGGATGCGTTCGGGGGAGTGCAGACAATGGTTGTGCGAAATCCGTCGATTAAATGGGGCGCTATGGTGCCGCGGCAACATTTTCCAGGGGCAGAGGTGGAGGGGGTTATACCTGAAATGCAGTTGACACCGGAGTTTGTGGTAATTAAGAGGCATGTGTGCGGGACAGAGTGTCCAGAAGGGTGCCACGAGGGAGGAGGGGTGAGAACGAAGGGGAAGGGAAAGCCGGTGGCAGAGGTAGGAGATATAGAAGGGGGTGAGGCGATGGAGGGCGTGGTGTTTGCGCATTGGGGTAACGATGACTTTGACGAGAGTGAAGACAGTGGCTCAGACCACGAACAAAACGAAAAGTTACGAGAGCAGCAGGAGCTCAAGACAATAGAGACTTTAGAGCATTGTACAATTATCGAGCGGCATCGCAGGAAATGGGCAGCGGAAATTGGCGCACTGACGGACAAAGCGCGGATTATGACTGAGAAGCTCCCGTCAATTAGCCTCAATACGAAAGAACCAAGCCACGAGGCAGAGAGAGTTTACGAGCCAGCATTTGTTTTGTCTGGCAAGATGATGAATCGACTGGATGACCAGAGAAGGAAGGAAGAGGAGCTTAAGCAGGAGAAGGCGAGGCTGGCCAGGATACGAATTACGAAATGGCGAGCGGCAATGGCGGGGCGAGATACTTCCCAGATGGGAGATAAGGCAGGAGAGGTCATGTTCCAGTCGCTGGTGGACAGCGGGGATCTCGCTGCACCGGAAAACAACCCAGACAACGAGAGTTTTAACAGCAACTACGAGGGATCGCCTACTGGGGGCAACAATGGCGGGGCTTCTGGTCCGGCTCCACGGTCTCCAGACAAGGAAGACTCTGCAGAGAGGCGTAAGCAGGAGAAGTCAAGGCTGGCCAAAATACGACTTGCAAAATGGCGAGCGGCAATGGCGGGGCAAAGTACTACCGAGATGGGAGATGAGGCCGGAGAGGCCGTGTTAAAGTCCATTGATGATAGTCCAGGGCCAAGTGTGGTTACTGAAAACACCCCGACAAGTGATTTTGATGAGGCGATGGCACTGCAAGCCAGCCAACCCACTGTCAAATCCACCGAGGAGGTAGTATTCGACCTAGCCGAACAAGAGGACAAAAAATTACAAGAGACAGCCCAAGAAGAGGTCCCCGAAGAGATACACAGCCTCGAGGCCACTTCTCAGGAGACTGCTGCGGAAGAGTCCATCGCCCAGGCACTCATCGCCCAAGCTGCGATCGTCCGGGGTGCAACTACTCCAGACCTCGATCTTGAAGAAACTCCCATTTCTGAATCAGCCCCAAAAGAGACCACTTCAGCAGAGGCCACACTGGAAGATGCCACGTCTGAAAAGCCTGCACCTAAAGAGGCCGCGCCTGAAGATACCACGCCTGAAAAACCCACACCTAAAGAGGCCACGCGTGAGGAGACTACCACTCAAAAGGCTATCGCTGAAGAAACTTCAGCCCAAGAAAATCTTGGTCCAGGGCCAGGGCCCAGCCGTAAGAGACTAGCTCCCAATAAGTCATCCTTAAAGAGACGCCCAGCCAAGAGACAGTCTATCCGTGACTCACCATTTCTAGACGCTTCAGAACGAGAAGCGCCTCCTCTATGGATATTGCAGCGACATGGGAGGCTTATCCGCAATCCGTTGGCCGGTTCTACCACTGGCTATAGGCGCTGGTCTGATCCGGAGATTGATGCGCCTGTTCCCATGCCATCATCCGATTCAGAGCCACGCCCTCGATCCACCACAATCTCAGAAGGCACGGAGCCTCCGGTGCCGCGCTGCTCAGCTGAAGATACAATCCCAACTATAGGGGAAGAAGGCCAGATGACAGAGCACGTCGAAGTAGTTGACGATATCCTAGCCCTTCCGTCGCCTGCTGAGTGGTTCTTGGCGGATAGAGAGAGCATGCCCCCGCCGCCCTCGCCGCGACCTCGCAAACGGTCCATGGCAGTCATAGAAGGCTCGCCATATATGCCTAGTCGCTGGTCGCCTGACGACTTGTTCCCAAGCATAGAGAGGTTATTCCAGGCTGCGAGGCCGTCTTCGTCGGGTGGGGACAGCGCCGCCGATGTCACTTCACTGGCTCCCGCGCGTGCCAGTACACCCGAACCGCTTCAAATGTCGCGAGAGCAGATCCGAAACAGTGCACAGGAATTAGCAAATCTGCTAGGGCCTGCCGAAGAAAGATTTAGGCATCCTGCTATTGGTTTAATAACTGTGATGACGAACCCTCAGATGGCAGAGTTGACAATGCCCTATCGGCCGACACGAGGACCTAGTGCGCTTAGAAGGGAGATTCTGATTGACAAAGAGGCCTTAGAGGCAGAGAACTTGGAAAGATTTGCTCTGGAGGCTGAGGAGCTCGAGAGAGGCGTGTTTGCTTCTCGTGTCCCTGATCCCCCTCCTTATAATCTGCGCAGTAGATCTAGGACCAGTTCGGAGAATCCATCACCTGTTACGCCGAGCATCTTCAGTGGCGAAACGTCGGGGACTTCAGTTACTGCTACACCAACGGGATCAGGAGATTTGACGGGTGAAGCGGTTGTGGCTGCCGAGCTGGCTGAAGATAGGAGCGGAATGAGGGTTGTGGAGAGGGTTGTGGCGATGGTTCTGGAGGGGGTGTATTTGCCGTCCAGTCCGGCTTTGGCGGTGGATAGGCTGGTGTTGGGTAGAGACGGTGCACCGGGAGTAGACCGGAGCGAGGGGAGGGCTAATCTGTGGCGGGAAGAGAGCACGGGGACGGAGGGGAGCACGGGGACGGAGGGGAGCATGGGGAGAGAAGGTAGCATGGAGAGTCTGAGCAGTACTGGAAGATCGAGAAGCATGGAAAGAGAAGGGAGTATTACGACAGAGGTTGTGGAGACGCTGGGGGGTTTGGCGGTAGAGAGTGTGAGTGAGGAGGGTGGACCCGAGGAGGGAAGTGAAGTGCTAGGAAGGGTCTTGCCGTCGACGGAAGTGCCCGAGGAGGCGATTGAAGATGAAGAGGACGGGGCGCCGCTGACGAAGGTATCGAGCCATTCATCGAGGCATTCATTGTAAAGTAGGGTGATTCCGGAGAGTGGCTGTTCGGGGTGAGATTCTTTTTGACGTTCTGAGCTGTACATATTGGTTTTACTTGGTGTTTTGGTTTTGGTTTTGAGATGGAGTATAGAGTAAGTTTTGCACACGATGGGGTTTGGAATAGCTATTCTTGGATAAGGTGTACTTGCAGCGAGACACTGATACAATGGGAAAGATCCGAGCGGAGAACAGCCCCCAAGATTACCAGACCTTGGCAATTCTTCCCACTCACTTTGCACCCCCAACTGGCTTACTACAGTTAGTATGAGCAGTGTACTCCAATCTGCTCTATCTTATTGGTAATTTGGCACAGCTGGGACCCGTCTAATTTTGCTTGAAATGTTCCACCTCAAGACCCCGGGAAGGCTGAGCCCAAGCCTTGTCTCGGTGTTGACGCACTGATTGGTAGGGAGGCCGTGTGGTGGTAATGAGCAAAACATGGTATCCCCTGGTCCATGCTGCTGATCCCGCATACATCATCGTCGATCGGCGATCGTGCATGCTCTGATGCAATGCCCCCGTCCGTTCTCTGGCACTTTGAACTCCCGATGTGGCGCCGCCCCCATCACCCCCACCCCCCATCACCCCCCATCATCATCCCCCATCACCCCCCACACCCCCCATCACCCCCCATCACCCCCATAACTCCCATCGCCCCCAATACTCCCATCACCATGGTTGGGAGTGGGATCCCGCACCGTTGTGACCATGCCCAAGGTGACTCCTCACTTCCCTTTCTTCCACCTCGCCGAGACAGGTTCTATATAATAAAGTCACGTAGCTGATATCGACCTCTTCCGCTTCGGACCATTTGTTGGCTCTCCTGGGGAAACCTGGGCGCAGCGTTTTGTATATATGTTCGATCGTTCCTTCCTCTTTATGCATGGGCCGTATTGTTTGCACCTTCCGTACACATCGATCGCCCTTCCTTCGGTTTTAGTCGAGGCTTCACATCGTCGTCAACTTGCCACAGACATAATATCCATCCAACTGAGCACTTTGACGCACGACGGAAGCTTTAGGAGAGATCAGACTTCTGCTCGGACCCCCGGAGAAATCCTTCTCAACGTCAAAAAGGCTTCCACACCTTATCTGTTCTGCCACCACCGATTCAAGACGCCTCACGCACTCGGACCGGGGCTCAAAAGAGACCTGAGACACGCACCCTCACTATCTGAAAGGAGCACCACACCGGAACCCGGAAATAGGACCCGGGCCCCCGAAGCTACTAGGAGACAAGTCTATCGCCTCATCAAACGCTCAACCACAATGTCTCAGTCTCCACCACACCTCTACAACTTCACCATCCAACCGCCGCCCTCTACGCCTCCATCCACCCCCCTCGTCCCGCCACCTACCTTCATCCTCCGCGAGACCCCCACCCCCGATCCCACCCTGACTGCGAATAACCTCATGGCGGTCGCATCGCTCGTACCCGCGAGCATTGAGTCTGCTATCGCGGATTTATCGGGGGTAAGCAGCGATGATCTCACTGGCACCCTCGCGGTCCCTGCGACCACCCTCAGTGACGGCCCGGGAGCGGGGTTCGTGTTTCGCAACCTAAGGATCGAGAAGATTGGTAATTGGAGGATTCGAGTTATTGTGCTGAGGATGAGCGAAGGTGGAGCCAGTGCTGGTGGCATGCAGAATGGGATTGGCAGGGCGGAAGCGAATGCTGAGGGGGCGATTGTTGGAGTAGAGCTTGTGAGCAGGGTCGTGAGTGTTTTGGAGGAGGCTGAGGCAAATGAAAATATATGTGAGTATTTTCCTATTTTCTTAGAGGTGGTTTTTGCCCCATACATTCCTTATTGGTGGCGGTAGAGAAGTCGGAGCCAGGCCCATGTTCTTCGATATAATGGCTAAAGCTAAACTTGCTTTCTCTACAGCGATGACCGACCAAGAAGTATTGGATCAGATGAGCGAGTGATGTGTTGGCTCGCGCAAAACTCTCCGGAAGGGTATCGGGAGGGAAGATCGCAGTCGGGTGTTAGCAAAGTAGGGGGATCTGTATATATCTTTATAGATTGTGGGCCCGTGCAAACGGGATGGCGCGAAGCATTTCTTTGATCCGCCTGATTTTAGGGCGACAGCGCATGGTGGATACTGGCGGCGGTTTTCATTCTTAAAACAAGAAACAGCGAGGAGATTAGTGGAGGTATTTTGCTAGCGATCATGGAAACTGGATTATGGATGGAGAGGCTCAAGACAGGGAATACGATATACTCATCCGATGAACGAATGATGCTGGCATACGGAAATGGATACGTACAGCCTGCCGTTTCCTACAAAACAAATAGCAGCATAATTAACTAAGTGTGGACGTTCTATGGCCGTTGTCATACAGGGTGGACAGCGTTTATTGAAGCTGAAACTCTCCGGGCCTATGATCCTAACCTCTCGGACAATAGACGAACAGTCTCGACCTGGACAAGACGAGATCCGTTGCGCAGTGGATCTCGGCCATGATATCATGACGTATCTCCTGCTACTAACAGCTCCAAATTCCATCCCAGCTTTCTTTCAGTTAGAGTGCTTCAACAACGTTACAATGATTGATGAAAGTGGAGAGTAAACGACTTGGCTGTGGTCGCGCAAAAGGTAGCATCGTTGGGCACGCGTCGTTAGCTAGCAACACTAACCCCCTTATCACAACTCTTGCAGCTCAGTTACTACTTGTGTACGGCGACGGGTGTGGGTTTATAGCGACTTTGGCTGAAGTTTCTCCAATACCAACAACAAGAGCAATACTACTCAACGATTGCTACAACCCTCTATTGTAAGCACACAGGCCACCCAGCTCACAGTAATAGCATATGAGAGTGTGAGTCAGAGGCTAAACGGATGCTATCCTAAAGGTCTACTATGAAGGATACAAAAAAGATGATGAGGAACCCCGTTGGGTCAATCCCCTTAAGTACCTGAAACAGGTCCGACTCGGCTAACCTGCCCTAACTCTCCCCACGTGACCATAACCTGCCCGACTCCGATCCCTTCCGTCACTTAGGGCGGAAGCATCCTTACATCTATGATTCATTACACGTCATTGCTCCTTAGTTACTGGGCCGATATTACCACATAGCATATCTCTACAACCCTCTATGATTCATTACATGACATCACTCCTTAGTTACTGGGCTAATACTACACATGACATATCTCTATCAACTAGAGGCCTAGGAACATGAACGATAGCTCCAAAAGCTTCTACAACTGTCTATGATTGTAAGGATGCCTCCGTACCTAGATACTCGAAGAACCTGTCTCAGAACTGTTACGGTCACTACAAGCATGGAATCCGACTCGGTGGGGTTTCGAACCAGTAGAGGATCATATAGCGAGTTACACTATAGTGGGGGACGGTAAGTGTATAGGGTTCAGGGCCGATGTAGACCTGTTGCGGTGGAAGGTTCAGGGCTAGGGTTGGGATAACCGAGTCGGGCCCGTTTCGGGAGTTAAGGAAACAGACTCAACGGGGTTCCCCCTTCATCTTTTTTGTATCCTTCGTAGTAGACCTATAGGATAGCATCCGTTTAGCCTCCGACTCGCACTCTCATATGCTATTACTGTGAGCTGGGTGCCCTGTGTCCTTACAATGATTCATTACACGTCATCACTTCTTAGTTACCCACAAGATTGGTTAAGTTATGACATAATTTGTCTATAGGGGTACTCTGACTTTGGACCTCATTTCACTTCCTATAGGCTAGGAACCTAAGAGATGGTTCTATGGGATTCTCTTACGTCGACTACAGTTACCAAGCCTGGTAAGTCATGGAAAGTCTTGGAAAATGAGAGAACTACACTCCTTTAGCATAAATAGGATTGCCCTTTCCTTAAGAAAGGGCAAGCAGACAATACAGTAAATCGACTATCACATACTTCCACGTCTTTTCCAAGCTTTCAAGCATTCATCTTGTTACTCCTTGTTTCTGAAAAGTCAGTGAGGTGTTAACCTCTGACTTACCCCTGAGTTCCCAGACTCAACATTTGTTGCAACTTGTCTGAACCACTCCACTACATCACACACCTGATTGCTGCGTTGTGGAATAGTCTAAGCTACAACCCTTTGGCTCTTTTTCCTAAGACAGTGTGTTGTCTTAGTAAATTCATCCCTGCCTTGGGTGGCTAGATTCTCACATCTGGTGCACCCACCATTACATTTAGGTGGGCAACGTGCTAGAACCGTAGGTGGGAGCAATCAGTATTCAACAAACTAATCTCTAAGCCCCTTCTACTAGGGGCTTAGCTACCTTTATCTATTCCTCCAGAGTTGGGCCCCTACGGTGGTACTTGGGGTTGAACCCCCGCCGTCTCGTAACTGAGCTGGGGTCGGGTGTTGCACCCAGGGCCGGGCGTTGCACCCCAACAGCTATTAGGGCCTAATGGATGCCTTAGGACATCAGGCCCCAGTAGTGTTCTCAGACAGCCTTGTGGCCTCAGCCTGCCTAGGGCACTATAGTGGGTCCTTAGGAGCGGTGTCCCTGACATGGACCCATGGTTGCCCCCACCTGTGACACTAGTCACATAGGGGATTACAAAGGGAACGCCGTAGGGGGTATGGCCGGAAGGGGAGAATTATGTACTATTTACTAGTAATTTCCCTTGTCAGGTCATAGCTGAACTCCAGTTTTTACAGCTCTCTCATTTCTTGCCAAAATGGCTAAGTCTAGTGTTGTAAAATGGGAACGATTCAAGCAGGTCCCTTATCTTCATCATCATTTACTATCACGTGTGTAATAATTAGTCATATAGGTCTTGGCAATATATTGCCATATATTGCCATATGATATTGCCGTATTGTAATACAGTCATATGGCGTAAGGCCATATTGTATTGCCAAGGCCCATATTGCAATATATATTGCAATATACTGCCAAGACCAATATACTATTGGCAACACTGCCCTGGTCCCAATTGTTATTCCTAATATGACTAAATTAGTTTGTCCATATGCGAGAAAAAGAAAGGATATAAAACTCACCATTCCATGGCATCGAGGGCTGCAAACTCATTAAAAGTTGAGTTGCCGTCAATGTGTGAGGTGAATGTGCCAACGGAGCTAGCATCGTTGAGAACTTTATCATAGGGCTGGCTGGGTAATTGGTTCCAAGGGGTCGTTGGTTCCTTCCAATACGAAGAGCGGCCATCCGTAGAGGTTACAGACGGAGGAGCTTGGCTTGGTGGAACATTGTTGGAAAGGGCTCTGTTAAAATGATCTCCATTTGCGCCATCCCTGACATCAAGGTTGGAACCAGAAAGGTTGTCGGATATGTTGGAACTGCATTCCTGGTAGTACGCTGCACATGCGTAGCCTGTATACCAACTGTGTATATATAGGGGCTTCGCCCCCCGTAGTTTTTCAATCAAGTCGTCAAACTCCAATTATGTGTTCAACAGGATATAATGGGGTGAGAAACCAATTGCGTAATCATGTGGTCTTGGGACATAATGTGCTGTCTATTCCTGGCTGGCTTGGCGGTAAAGGTTGCGATAAGTTTCGCATAGATGTAAGGTTGGGTTTTAATATGGTCTGAAGTGTTGTAAACGATGGCCACACTGTAGACATCGCGGACAGCGAATGGAACATCTTTTCCTGCCATTCGGCGGAAGTAACATTTTGCTCGTCGATAGGACTTTGTGGGATTTTGTTAAAGCTTTATAAAACAAGCGAAAGTTGGTGGAATTATCGATAGCCCGAAGGCTTCTGAGTGGCGAACAATAATCCACATTGTTTTATAAGCGGAGGCAGCTAATACCTCAAGGTTTGTACCATTAGAAGCTTGTCCTCCATTGTCTGAAGCATCCAAATAAGCGTAGACCGCTGTTACTGTGTTGAGATGCCCGATGTGAAGATGGTATTGATGAGGCAGTAAAGGTGGCCTCGTCCCGTCGCTAATGTTAGGCGCTGGTGGATTTGATGGGATTCATTTTGCCACAAGATCCCAATTCATCCAACAGTTCTTGACACTTATGGGCCCTTATAGTCCCAGTAGACTCATCATGGGTGATGTTGTTGAGGATTGCCGTGAGACGAATAAGGCAGTTGAATGTGTTCAGAGTAGCGGGACTGCGACGGCCATCTGTAGAATTATGCTCTAGAGAAAGACAATCCATCCATGGATTCCACTCATCTAATCTGTCTTGTCAATGGTGCCGATTTGTCTGATATCTGACACGCGGAGCTGTGGGGTCCGATCGAGGTGTAATGCTACCAATGTGTCGAGAACAAAGCAGCCTAGAAAAACGTGTGCATTGAGACATTTCTTGTCTGTAGCATGGCTAAAGCCAAGCTCAATAGCAATGCGGACGGCCTTGCCGATTAATATCCAGGCGCCGCTCCAGCGCCCCTGTCCTATGTTCAGAAGCGTGAGTATTAATAGGGCTTGAACGTGACCCGACTCAAAATCCCCCTCTTCTGGCGGAATATGTGCCTTGGATTCTTCGTATAGCCTTCCCACCATCCAATCACCGTCTAGGCCCTTGGTCGTTGTATATGGTTTTATCGCTCTGATTTGGTGGTCTGCATATGCCAATACAGCCCAAAGCACTGCCAAATCCCCAGACTTGTGGGGTGAAGATGCCGATCTGTTCTGTGAGTACTGGCATGAGAGTCTTAATAGCTCATGCTTTTCTATAATAGGAAACCACAATGAGTATATGAGAAATATACGTCAATGAGATTCCATGTACTCTCAGGCAATGGAAGAGCGCTTGGGATACTCGTTTCTCAGGAGGCTTCGAAATGCTATACTGGCCCTCACGCGCCTCTAACTCTATGTGAGGTCACGTTATGAAGCTCTGCAACTTCCGTTACATCTTCCACGGCTTTGCTCATACCTGCACGTGGAGTTTTGATATCGCATCCGAGTTCAGCGCAACCATAATTCCCCCCCGCGTAGATTGTCGCAGAGCGAGAAGCTCCTAATGAAGCCCCATGGACAGAGCATTCCGTAACTGTGTTTTTCCTGCCGATTTGCCACCTTTGCAGCCTTCGTTCGTCGATATTCCTTCAACGATATAATCTTGGCAACCTTCTTGTGGTGTGCGGATGCAGCGTATTGAACCAACTTAGATTATCAGCGCATGTTGGTTGCTTGGAAGTTTGGTATGAGGATATTGTTTAATTTCTCAATTGGGATCTAGGCTGTTGGCTAATATTTTCAAGGGTTAGGCGATGTGAATATCGTTATCCAGGCACCTCGTCTCGTCGTTTGATGCTGGTCCGTGAAGATGGTAATGCAGAGAACTTATCCAACATCACTCGGTGGCATCAGTAGATTTGTGACGACTATGGTTCTTTGGAAATAGAAACTTTAAGTTCAAGTATTAGGCAAGACCTTATTCGGTCAGCGCAATTAATCTAAACGACACCGATCAGTCGGCGACGTTTGGAAGACCACTATTTATGCGAAAGGCGCCTTCAAATAGCGACGACGACGCAATGCGACGATTTGATGTTTCACCTCACAGCGCCAGAACCTGCTGAGATCTCGATAGAGCCGAAGGTAGCATTATTGCTTGGATCTAATAATATTGTATCGGACAGTTGGTATGTCTGTTGTC